TTTGTTATATTTGTGCTGATAAATAAATAAAGGGAGACTAGTATAGATCTATTTCAAGCTATTTAGCTCTCAACAGCTAGCCATACCCTTGCTGGTTCTATTCCCAAATAGAGATAGATAGATAGATAGATAGATAGATAGATAGATAGATAGATAGATAGATAGATAGATAGATAGATAGATAGATAGATAGATAGATTGTTGGATGGGGCCCAGGGGTGGGTCGCTGCTGGCATTACTGCTGGTTCGCTTCGTGCCCTCGTTGCTTGTACATGCACAATTGTCTGTAAATTGTTCTGACCATGTGCAGAACATTATAAAATGACTAAAAATGCATGCTGGCAATGGCATGGGTGACCAGGGAACCGGTTCGGGGGCATGGCCAGCCTGGTTTCCCTACCGGTTCAGTGACCCAGTCATAATTTCCACTACCGGTTCACGTGAACTGGTAGCAACCAGGGGTGAAATCCAGCAGGTTCTGACAGGTTCTGGAGAACCAGTAGCAGAAATTTTGTGTAGTTTGGAGAACCGGCAAATGCCACCTCTGGTTGAGGTTTGAGTCACATATTGATTTATAAGAAAAGAAAAGTTAATGTAGTGTTTTGGTTCCCTTGGTGAATAAACAATGCCAGAAATTCAAGTGTGTATGTGTGGAGCACTGCATCCTCCATCTTGCAGATTCTCTTACCCATCCCAAAGACAGAGTTGTAATCAAATCAAGGATATTTTTAAGCTCCGTTACTTGTTTTTCCACCTCTGAACTCTCACTTTCAGTTTTGATAAAGTCCTAGCCAACAAAGTTTGCTCCAAAGTTCAATGGAACCCAGAGGAGAAATGAAACCTCTGAGAATTCCGGAGGCCTCAAAGACATTATGAAAAAGATAATATGGAATATAAGGAGGAATTTCTGGTTGTCTTAGACTCCAGGACAGTCATCTTACTCAAATCAGAGAAGGCATCTACAATAACAAGGGGAGCATATCTTTCTCCTTCTATTCTGGCCACGTTTTACAAAGGCACGCTTGAGAGCGTTTGGTTTGGTTTGGCGGCTGCAGTGCCTCAGATGGAAAGTCCATACAGAGAGTGGTGAGGACAGCAGAGAACATTATAGGAAGCTCGCTTCCCATTTTTCAGGATACTGCTTATAAGCGCTATGTGCTTAAAGCTTAAAGCATTGTTAGAGACACCATCCCCTCCACCCCCACACATCGACCTTCATGGTCTGTTTCTGTTGCTCCCTGCTGTGGTGGGTGGGAGGTTTTGAAGTATCTCTAGCTGGACTACCAGATTTTATAACAGTCATGCTCCCTAGGCCATCCATCTGGTAAACTCACAAGATTTGTTTCTCTCTCTCTGTACATGTACATATGTGAACTAGTCTGTGTTGTTTCTCTGTATTGTATATGCAGGTATATGCATACTGTTGTATTTAATGATTGATTTTGTCATGTTTATGTAGTGTACATTGGATGATTACTGTTGGGGTTTGTGCCAGCTAGAGATAAGGACTTGAAATGTTTATAAAAGAGTTGCAGGAAGGAAGTCATACAATCTTAGAACCTACATATCTTTAAAGAAATGTAAAAAAAGGAAGCAACAAATAATATTTATTAATAATGAACTGTTATTATAAAATATAATATGAGAGTATGCTTGAAGGGTTAAGGATCAAAAATGTCATTATTTATTTCAGCACATGTCCCCCCCCCCTTACAATTTCTTTCGTTACACATATAAATTTGCATCTTGTTTGTGAACCCCTACATTCTTCTACCAAGTGTTTTAGGGACAAAAGCTCGGGAAACAAGAAATGATGAAAATTACTGATTTTAAAAAAATGTCATTTGGTAAGAATGATTGATACAGTTGTTTTGATGATTTGTATTGACATTTTTCTGTCCAGCATCTTCACTTTAAAAATTACACATGAAGCAATATTTCCTGTTTACATTGTTTGGTGATTAGCTATATTAGGATTGGCAAATTCCATCCATTCTGTAGGTTCTTATTGAGTCCGCATATCATTTAGGACTTTAAAAAATGACTACACAATGCCAGTGACTCCTCACAAGGGACAGTGAGTCTTCACAACTGGTCTTCCTCCATAGTTTTCGGATCTTCTGGGCTGTCCTTCTCATCTTTGAAGACTCTTTGGAGAGCCACCTTGTAAGATGCTCTGGGCTGGTCTTTCCCCCTCTTTTTCCTCCCGACTAAGAAATAAAGGAGTGGGTTGATGCTGCTATTGAGAGCCACACATCCTATCCCAACGGTCATGAGGAGGGGATTATAGGAACCAAAATATTCAATGACATAAAAGACATCCATTGGGAGAGAAAAAAGCAGGAAGAAGAGAAGAGCCAGCAAGATAGTGGTGAGAAGTTTCCTTTGATTGTGTCGAGGCTTAGACCTCATACAAATCCAGAGGGTCAAAGTGGACACAACCATGAGAGGCGTACAAAGTAAGCCATTCACAATAATCTGAAAAAAGAAAAGCGAAATTCCAAAGTTGGTAGTCTGGTACAGAATGAAGTGCACCGCAGAGAGAAAGAAGGAGAGATTCCATGTGAGGAGACAAAGAAGGGTGGGAAAGTATGGAGGACGATGGGAGCGATGCCAGTGTGGGAAAAGGACAGCCACGCACCTGTCCAGGCTGATGGCCGTCAGCAGAAGCCGGCTAGCAGAATAGGTGAAGAAAAAGAGCTCAAGTAATAAGAAGAAAAAGGCAAATGAAAGATGAGTGATTCCATGCAGAGTTAGAACAGCCACAACAACAGCTGCAACAATAAAGGATGTGAGGACTCCAAAATCAGCGAGGGAGAGGTTCAGGATGAAAGTGGTGAAAGGATTCCTCTTAATGGAAAAGGCCAGGAGGTGAATTGTCCTTCCATTTCCCACCAGGCCTAAAATACAGATAACTGCAAAGAAGCCGTTGATAAGGTTGCTTGTTAAATCGAGCACAGGAGTCATTCCAAAATATTTAGCCCAGACATCACGCCTGTTAACAGAAAGAGATGAAAACAGAATCAACCCTTGTCTCAAAAATCTGCGAACTGCTCAGATATTCACATCATTGGATAGGTTTTGTGTTAAATGATCAAGCAATTGATCCTATGAAGAAGAGTAAATTTCTGATATTTTAGAAATGTTTGAAGCAAAAAAATTGACATAGCCTAAGACACAGTAGGCTGCCAAAGTCTTTCGGGATAAGGTTGATAAACACCCACCTTTGTCTCCTTTGAAACTCTGCTGAAGACCTAATTGCCGATTAGCTTTGCAAGTCCAAATGGAGCACAGAGTCAAAACAGAGCTTCAGAGATTAAACCGACCAGAACGAACAAAGTTGCTTCCTGCAAAGGCTCACGTGCCTTTGCTCATCCTTTATTTCTTATGGGAGGAGCCAATCATCTCCAAGCCTTACTCTTGAGTCATCCTTTTGTCTTAACTGTTCTTGTTTTACTTGATCCACTGGGAACAGACTCCCCCTGTTCCTCTGCCTCGCTGATGTCAGACTCTGGAGGCTCCTGAGGGAGCACATAACTCCCAGATGGTCCTGCCCTCCTCTCTGCCTCTGATGCAGAGTCCTCATCAGAGCCTTCCTCAGACTCCAGGACTGGCCCATGCTCCTCCCCAACCTTCTCACTGTCTGACTCTGCTGCCAGCTCCATAGGCCACTGGCAGACTCTATCACATTAAGCTGTCCATGACGTGTTAATAGTCAAATGGTGAAGACCGTCTCTCTGGGAAATGTTGTCCTTTGTTTGCCCCCTGCATGGAATCCAAAAGTCCTCATTGGCTGTTTTGGAAATCTAATGGGCCTGTACTTTCACCAAAAATGGGTTAAGAGCAAGCTGAGTTGAACAACATCCATCCTTCACAAAGTGCTCCCATTTGAGCAACACAATGGGCAGAGCAGGGGAGCAATTTTCCTTGTAGAATTTTATGAAACCACTAACTGATAACCTGGCATTGCCTGGGTATTTATTTATCTTAATCCATACATTTGTCCTCAAAAATGATCTTGGCCCAAATGTAATTTCTAATGTTGGATTTTCCTCCTTACCAGAGGGAGCTCCCTTGTGGAGTACTGTGAAGCCATTACCATGGCAACTCCTCTGCGCTGCACAATAGAATACATTTTACGGCAGTACGGTAGAATCCATTTTAAGGCACAACAGGCTGTATCTTAACAGAACACATACCCAGAGAGGTTTTAGGGGTGTCTTACCCCCACAGTATTTGGTTCCAGAGAGAAAGTCATCTGTGTACTAAGTTTGGTTGAAATTGCTTGAGGCGTTCCAGAGTTATAATGGAACACACACACACACACACACAGCCATAGATAGTTGATAGATAGATAGATAGATAGATAGATAGATAGATAGATAGATAGATAGATAGATAGATAGATAGATAGAAGGCTTACTCCATTCCTGCAAAAAAATGTTTTCTATCATAATATACTTACTCATTGAAGGATATAGGTGTAATATTATAGAAGGCACCACTTCCACTATAGTCATCATCATCTAAGGAAGAAATTAAAGTAAATAAAGATTATGATTCCGCAAGAGATAAAAAATGCTAATTTGTTTTAAAAAGTTCTTCCATACATTCAGTGTCTTTCTGAATGAGAGTTTGTGTATGCATATTAAATAATTCCCTTTTTTTTCTTCTTGTTGTGGTTGCCCAGATAGTCATTAGCAATACTCAGTTCTTATGGTCCTCTCTAAGAGGCCCAGGAATTACCAGGAGTTTTCAGACTATAAGATGCACCAGAGTATAAAACTCACCTTAGTTTTTGGAGAGGAAAACAAGAAAAAAAAACATTCTGCCTCTGCCTACCAGCAACCATGGTATTCATCTGTCTAGCATCCTGTCAGTGTGTGAGAGAGTTGAGGGTTGTTGGAAACAAACAGTATTTGCTGTGTGAGGAACAAGGAAGGAGACAGCAAGGAGTCTGGGCCTGGCTTGTTCTGTACTAAAGCTGTATGCTGTGCTGATATCTGAAAGTAAAACTGAAGGAGAAACTTATCTCCTCTGTTGAAATACCATGTTGGAAAACCTGCTTTTGGTATTGTATATTTACTTAATGTGTTATATTATATTATATAGAGAAGTTATTGAATCCTGCTGAAACAGTTCCTTGTGTGTTCTTTCTGAATGTTGCAAGACACGTCCTTACAGCAAATTACAAACAGCCAGGTCAGCTTCAGCACATTATTGCCGTCTAATTCAGCATGAGCAGCTGATTGGCGGGTGGATTGGCCTCCTGGAATACCCCCAATCAGCTGTTCCAGGCTGAATGGATTGCCACAGACCATTGCCTCCTCCATGCCTTGCATTTATGGCTACATTCAGTGTATAAGCAGTGCCCAAATTTTCACCCTCTTTTAGGAGGGGGAGTGCATCTTATACTCTGAAAATATGGCATTTAACCTAATTAATTCAAAAATGCTCATTTTGAAAAGGAAACTATTTTTCCCACCCTTGTTTTTCCTTCATTTCCAGAATGCTTCTGGATTTCCAACCACATTTCTTGTTCTTAATGTTCTCTTGAAGAACATAGAGGTTGACTTCATCTCTTTTGCCCTTCTAGAATGATGTTGCCTGCAGGCAGTGGTGGGTTTCAAAAATTGTTCGAACCTACTCTGTGGGTGTGGCCTCCTTTGTGGGAGTGGCTTGTCCCCCATGTGA